CGCTGCCCGCGTGCGTGTGGCTACACGCTCGGGGACCGTGCTGGGTTTGAGACCCAAACTTGCAGGAGAAAATGCGCCCGCGGGCGCGTCGGGGTCGTCATAGATCATTCGGGCTCGTCTCCCTCCTCCTTCTCTCTCTCTCTCTCTCTCTCTATTTAGCGGTTTCTTGGCGCCAGGACCATCAACAAGTACGTTGTGTCCCAGCGCTGCAATGAGCTGGTTTCCAGCGTTTCCCGTTTGCACTACACGTGGGCGCATCACCGTGCCGCGTATTTGTGCCGAAATATGTTATACAGGCGCTTGCGCTGCCTCCAGGAGCCACTCGACCGACGACAATCATCTTCATCGATCCTCCTCCTCCTCCTCCTCCTCCCCCTCCTCCTCCTCCTCGATCCTGTGATCACTTGGCGCCCCAGACCCTCCGCGGTGTGAGAGTTTATCACGACGGGTGTTTTTTCCTAAATTTTCGGCCTCGGGGGGCCCTTCTCGGACCTCGGGTGGTTCAGACCTCTGGGGGTCGACGTCGCGAAAAAAAAGCACAACGTCGGGGATTTGGGTCGTCGCAATTTAGTCACGGGAGCGACGGCTGCCATGCGGGTCTGTGGCAAGGTATACTCCATGAACACCCGCAGACCGTACTGCGTTCGCGCACGCTTCAGTTGGAGATGAAATATGCGCTGGTGCTCCCCTCTCCCTACTCCCTCCTCCCTCCCCTCTCCGCCCTCCTCCGTTGCAATCTTGGGTCAAAATTCGCTGGTGGCTCAAGTTGTTATTTGGTAGCGGAGCTCGCCTGTCCATGGCGCAACAACGGCATGCGCTTCGACATTCTGGAACGCGCATTGCGCGCCAAAACACCCGACAGCGCCTTGCGCGCCCAAAAACCCGTCAGCGCCTTGCGCGCTTATGAACCCGACAGCGCCTTGCGCGCCTAAAAACCAAAAAACAAAACATCGCAAGTGTATTGTTTTTTTTCAATGCGTCTCGGGAAAAAACAATGCAAGAACCGCCGTTTTGTAAAAAACAAAACCGAGGAATGTCAGGGTACGTACAGTGCGGGCGCGGCCGCAAGAAACAGTCGTAAGAAACCCAACCCTGGGAACCCGTGCGCGAGGTGCACCTGAGGGGAAACCTGGAGCACCCTGAACGCAGCAGCTCCTTCGACGGCTGCGGGAAGCCACCGCGCAGCGCGAGGAGCGAAGAAACCCAGGATACCATGACGAAAAGCATATGGTTTCTTGATGCGCGCCCCCACTGTACTTCGCCGATAGATGGGCGATACGCCACGATGGCAACTCCGAAGTTTCTGGGCGGGACGGAGTACCAGGCCACGCACACACACACACACACACACAGCTGGGCATCTACAGGGGCGCGCGGACACGCTGGGTTGCAGCTTTGGCATCCCATGGAGAGCTACGAAATGAAAGAGGAGGAGGAGGAGGAGGAGGAGGAGGAGGAGGAGGAGGAGGGAGAGGAGGAGAGGAAAGTAGGAAGAGGAGGAACAGGGGAAGGAGAGGAGGAAGAGGAGGATGAGGAAGAGGAGGGGGAGGAGGAGGAGGAGGAGAGGAAAGACGATACGCATGGGCGATGAATGATCGATGCATCCCCTCCCCTTGAGCTTCTGCCCCCTATAACGTTGCCCCTTACCTTCCTGGAACACCTGCTGCACCTCCATGCCGTACTCGAAAGGCTTCACCCCGAGCTTGCCGAGGAGCACCGCGCCTCCAGGGGACACCTTCTCGCCTGCCTTCAGCACCGGAGTCTCGGCGACCAGCTCGATCTGCCCCTTCACGATCTTGGTGCCGATGTTGAGGGCCTGGAAGAAGGCCGTCTGCGACGGGTCCATGCCCGTGGGACCGGCGGGCAGCGAGAGGTCGACCTTGAAGGGGCCCCAAGACACACAAATAAATACACACAAATACAAAATATTCCCCATACTTTCCCATATGTTCTGGGTTTTGTCTTCCACCCCACTTCCCATATTTCCCCATATCTCCTGGGCATCGACGATTGATTTAATTGTGTCTGTGTGTTTTTTCCTCTCCTGAGACCTGGGCGAGCTGCCCCGCCTTCGCCGCCGCGGGCAGCCGGAACTTCTTCAGCGTCTCGCGGATGTCGTCCAGCTGGCAGTTGGTGGCGAAGATGAAGCCCATGTTGCCGTTGATGCCCGTCCTCAGCTGGTCGAGTCCGCAGCCGGGGTGCTTCTCTGCGCCGAGCAAGAGCGCCTTGCGGATCATCGTGTTCTTGCCCATGAGCACCACGGCCTTGCCCCGGAGCTCGATCCGGATCTCCTGCATCTGCTTCGAGCGCACGTGGTCCACCCCGACGAGCAGTGCACCGTTCTTGCTGTTGATGCAGAGGTCGACCAACTTGTCGAAGTACTGCGCCTTCTTCGCGAGCTTCTCGGCGTTCGGCATTCTGGCCGGTGTCTCTTGCCGCCCGTCTGGCGGACGGATTCTGCAAACGTGGGTCTCAAATCTTCCGCCTCAGCCAAAATGGCAGCGGAAGAGGAGGACCATAGCAAAGTCAGTAGACATACAACACCGATGCTGAAATTCACCCTCCCGTCCGATCTGGGGAGTCCATCCGGCGTCGTTTTTCTCCTCACCCGGCGAAGGGGGAATGTTAGACGTTCACAAACCGTCTGCCCACCCTGCACACCACGGTCGCCAGACCCACGGGATACTCGAGATCTCTGAAGATCCCACCTCGACTTCTCGACGAGCGACGACACCATACCGCGGTCGCCAGACCCCACATAATCCTTTGAATCCCTGGGTGTGAGGAATCAGAATCTACCGATACCGCTACTCCCCAGACCTCTCCCCGAGTGCGTTCTGACCAGAATTTCGAGGCGGATCCAGCGGTGGCGACGAGGGCCTCCCCGGAGGCCGTAAAAGAGACAACGGGCGAAGGGTAGAGGTATGGGTACCTTTTCCTCCTCTGGGAGCATCCCACCTCACGTCCTCGACAAAAGACGGCACCATACCGCGGTCTCCAGACCCCAGAGGATGGCGGGGAACGCACGAGTGCCGTGCCTCGCGTCCTCTGCGAAGGGCGGCACCCTGCATGCCCCAGACTGGCCCGATGGGGAGGCGTCACGGCGTCCCTCCGACTGGGAGTCACGACGCATGAGCCAAGGGGCGTGAAGAATCGGCATCAGAAACGCACAGCAAACATGGACACCTAGATCATGTCAACCATAAGATGGCATAACATAGCATGATTCCACACAAGGAAATAACTTAACGGCCGTATTATGTCAAACTAAAGAGCATAACTCCATAATCGATCAGGCCATGGCATACAACATAAAACAATGCCACGGCGTCTCCTTACATTCCAGAGCTTAACATACCAATGCGCATTATGACATTGCATGTCATAAGAGGGTATAGCAGACATGCGCAGGATAACGTAGAGTTTGCCTTCTAGTGCTGCGCTACGGCAACGAAGGTCGCATGTCACCACGAATTATATACAACACAAGTTAATGATAATCGAATGCCAGGCCATACCATAAGATCATAAACCAAGCTCAACATCACACAGCATAGCATACTATGACAGGCCAGACCATACCATAGCACACGCTTACATAACATACCATGTCAGAACATAACGCATGTACTTTGACATACTGGGGAAGACCACACTACACCAACACAACACATGAAAGGCCATTACATACATGTGCAATACTGCAATAACGTCGGCAACTAACGTAATGCAACCTGCGATAATACAACGCTGCTGAGAAGAAATGTGATGCCATAGCGGAGTGTTCGCCACACAATGAACACAACACAACATAACACAGCATGCCAGACCATACCAGAGCATACCAGGCAATACGATGACAGAGCATCACATACCATATGACAGCAACACGTAACACACCATACCATGCTATGCCACATCATAATAAGGCAGAGCTGGGGGTACCATATTGCAACATATCAGATCACACCACCATGCAACATACGTGTGATACGATTACCGCCACTACGACACATACGATACTATAGCATAATAAAATACACCATGCTAAGAACATCGCATCATAACATATCATACCATCACAGAAAAAACGGTAGCGGATCGCACTCACTATAGCAGAAGGTACGACCCGTGGGGCCGCCTGGCCACTATGTAGTCGCCGAGGCCGCCCCTATCACCGCCTCGTCGCCGCCCGTCGACTGCGCCCAGGGGTCGGTCTGGCGGCTCTCTATCGTCGCCGTCGCCGTCCCGTCGTCGCCTCGTCGCCGCATAGATTGCACAACCTAGACTGCAGCGCTTTCCTTGCACAACACTGGTTGCAGCACGCAGACATCACATCATATATTGCACAACGTCGATGTGCAACACCCAGATGGCACAGAAGACTGGCACGACAACGATTGCACTGCCTTGACTGCACCACATCGATTGCAGCACGCCAATTGCACCGCATAGATTGCGCAACATCTAAACGACAAAACATGAAGTACGCGACATGGTTTACACCGTATAGATTGCGAACACCATAGATTGCACAGCATCTATTGCACCACGTGTATTGAATCGCACATCTTGCACAACCCATATATTCCTTGTCTAAAAACAGAATAGGATCTACCACCCCCCCGGCGTTATCACTCCCCCTTTCGGGTATGTAAATCATATACGATTCTGACCACATGTCCATCTTAAATATGAACTTACACTATCCTCGGGGGGCCAGTATCCCCCCCCGAGGGTCTCTTGTAAAAAACACTATGCGGTGACATTTTTTGTCCTAGCATAGCACTTGTTCGCAAATCCCTTGCAACAAATGGGACGAAGTGCACACAAGCGCGTCGTCGCGCGCGCATGCCGAAATCCTTCAAAACTTTCGGCGCCGGAAGGATTTCGCGATCGTGTTTCCAAAAAACATACTAAAACACCAGGTTTCGCAACATTGATTTGCTAAAAAAACATCCGCGCGAGCTCGTGCGAAATCTTGAGAAAACCTTTTTTTTTCAAGATTTCCACAAAATTCTATGAAACGGGCTTCGCGCGCGCGCATGTCGAAATCTGTCGAACGCCCTTGCGCGTGTGCCGTCGCGAGAATCCTCTGCAAGAAACGAAACGAAGTGCGGACGCGCGCGTCGTCGCGCGCGTATGCCGAAAACCTTCAAAACCCATCGGTTTCGGAAGGATTTCAAAATCGTGTGTCCAAAAAACTAACAAAAACACAAGGTTTCGCAACACGGATTTTCAACAAAAGCGTGCGCGCGCGCTGTTGCGTCGTCGTCGTCGTCGCCGTCGTCGTCGTCGTCGTCGTCGTCGCCGTCCTCCCTCCTCCCGCGTCGTCGTCGTCGTCGTCGCCTACGTCGTCCTCTGTCTTTCCTCGTGTTCGTCGTCGTCGTCCTCTTTGGCGTCGTGGTCGTTTCCGTCGTCGTTGTTGCCGTGGTCGTCTTTTCTCCTCCTCCCTCGTCGTCGTCGTCCGTCGTCGGCGTCTCGTCGTTGTCCCTCCTATTTCGTCGCCGTCATCGTCGTCGCCGTCGTCGTCGTCGTCTTCCCTCCTCCCTCGTCGTTGTCGTCGTCGGCGCCGCCGTCCTTTCCCCTTCTTCGTCGTTCGCGTCGTCGCCGTCCTCCCTCCTCCCTCGTCGTTGTCGTCGTTGTCGTCGTTGTCGCCGTCGTCGTCCTTCCTCCTCCCTCGTCGTCGTCCTCGTTGGCGACGTCGTCGTCGTCTTCGTCGTCGTCGGCGTCGTTGTCGTCGTCGAAGTCGTCGTAGACTACGTCGGTGTCGTCGTAGTCGCCGTCGTCGTTGTCGGCGTTGTCGTCGTCGTCGTCGTCGTCGTCGGCGTCGTTGACGTCGTCGTCGTCGTCGGTGTCGTCGTTGTCGTCGTCGAAGTCGTTGGAGACGTCGTCGGTGTCGTCGTAAACGGCCCAGAACGCCTCTAGGATGCCCAAGGACGGCCAACAAGACGCTCCCAAGACGGCCCCCGAAGGGCCCCGCCCTAGTCGGCCTTCTAGACAACACTGAAACGCCCCGGGAGAGCCCCATGACCGCCAGGAGAGGCTCCCAGGACTGCTTCCGACGGCGTCAAGCGAGCCAGGGACACCCGCGGCAAGACGGCCAAAGAGGCCCCCGAGAACCCCGACCGCGAAGGCCCAAGGAGGCCCCCAAGAGGCGTCCAAAAGGCCTCCACGAGGCCCCCAGGACGCTGCCAAAGGCTCCAAGAATGACCCGAGAAGTTCCCAAGAGGTCTCCTCATCCTTCTCCTCACCTTCCTTTTTCCTCCCACCGGGGCCTCCACATCGGCTGGACGAAACATTTGGCAAGAACTACCGTAGCCAAACGTTGCCCAAACGGTTGGCCGCATAGGCGTATCTTTAAAAAGACCGGAGGCGGCAGTAATTCACCGCAGGCGACCTCAATAACTTTTGAATATGACGAACGAACAACACACACCCATACCCATAAGGGGGTCTCTGGGAGGAGGACTGGCTATGGGTATGGGTGCGGGTTGTCGGACCCTAGGGAACGCTCCCGTTCGAGCGGGGACCCCCATCCGACAACACGCACCCATAGCCCTTTCCGACCCCCCTATGGGTATGGGTGTGTGTTGTTGGTTCGTCAGAGTATGCACACACTGGCTGGGGAAGCGGGCCGGAGGCAGGCGCGGCACCCTCGGCCTCACGCGCGTCGCCTCCGGCAAGGGGGGGAGAGGAGGAGCACTCTCATATCGCAGAGCCGTCGCGAGGAGGAACGAGGGCGGCAGGGACGCGGCGAGGAGGGATCCCTCCTTCGCTGAAGGGGCCCCAGGACACAGACAAATAAATACACACACATAGAAGGATCCTGTCGGCGTGTGCGAGGGGCTTGGCTGTTCGAGTCGTCGTCTCCGTCGGTCGTCGCCTCCGTCGTCCCCTTTCCCTGCAGCTTCCTTCTCAAGCTCGTGAGCGAGAGAAAAATCTAGCAGTGTCGTAATCGAGTCGAAGGGAAGCCCCTTCCCTTTGATCCCTTCCCCAAGGGGGGGGGGGGTCCCGGGGAGATAAGGTGTTACTGCGGCCCGTTGGTTGTTACTGCGGCCCGGTGGGTGTTAGTATGGCCAGGGGTCCTCCGGAGTGTATTAGTTATCGAGTACGGTGAAGGGGGGGGTCCAAAAAGGCTCTGCCCCCCCCCCCTCACCGAAGAGCCTCTCGGAAGAGGCTCTGGTGCTCTTCGAAGAGCCTCTTGGAGCCGCCGAAGACCTTCTTGCAGCCGCCTGAAGAGCCTCTTGGGCTCTCCGGAGAGCCTGGTGGGGCCTCCGAAGAGCCTCTTGGGTCATCCGAAGCGCTTCTTGGGCTCTACGAAGAAGAGCCTCTTGGGCTCTCCGTACTACTACTACTACTACTACTACTACTACTACTACTAATACTACTACTACTACTACTACTACTACTACTACTACTACTACTACTACTACTACTCCTACTCACTACTCCTCCTACTACACTACTACTACTATACACTACTACCACTACTACTAC